TTTTAATGAGAAAAGAATGGAAACCAAACAGGGGTTTGTTTTTTAAGAAAATGCATTTTACGATAGTGATTTTTTAAGATTGTGCGGTTAAAAGTATGATTTTTTTTTTTCAATTTATATGCAAAATATTTTATTACGAGAATGTGTGATTGAAAATGAATTTGAAAAAAAAATAATTTATCATAATGATTGTCAAACGTGAGCTAAATTATTAATTGCTGTACTAATAAAGCATGTTAGCATTATTATTATTATTATTTCGAACCTTTTGTCCCTCTTCTCCACAGCTTTTTGTTGGTGAAAATTTGTTCAAAGATCAATTGAAAGGTGAAAAGGGAACTTCACAAAATATTGTTCGCTTAAAGGTAAAACTTGTGCACCATTTTAGACAATTAGTTAACATTCGATGTTATGAACGAGATATAATTTCAACAAAACAACATATAAAAGCCAATTTTTCTCTTAAAATTTTGAATTTTTCCCATAATGTTTATTCTACTCGTTCTCCCTCTAACATGTTGCAACCAGATCTTTTTTATGAAAGGAATCCCATTTAATTTTCAAGAAAAATACGTCTCAACCGCTTAAATTAATGTCATGATCACTTATTGACATATTATAATTTATTGCGCTGAATGTTGTACAAGTATAATTGACATAAAGTATTTACTCAATGCTGATTGAAATATCAGTGACCCATGTGAAAATGAGATTAAGTCCCTATTTGGTGTAGCTTTAAAAATTTGAGAAAATTTATATCAAATTTAAAAATTTAATTTAATAATACATTTATTAGGATCCATAACTTTTATAAACTTTTAAACTATATATTTTATGAACTTTTATCGATTTTTAGTAAAAATTTGATTTTTTTGCCATACCAAAGAGGGGCTAAAATTCGTTTGACCTGGTAAAATTTGGGGAAGAATACATAACTCATGCTTTAACTATATCCCTAACAATACCCCTATTCAATTTTAAGAAAAAAAAGTTTAAAAATTCAAAACCTAGGTGGTAATTAGTAAATATTATATATCTAATAAATATTAATCTCAATATCTTGACTTACTCTAATCTCTCTCCAATATTTCTATAGACTCTCCTAGCCAAAGTTACGGGTATGCATCCGTCGTCATCCCCTCTTATAATCATCGTCATCCACCCGATTTGATATTCATGAATATAGTATTTCAAAAGCAACGACTTATTTGAGTTTTTAATTTAACAAAACATAAACGAGAATTAATAGATTATCTTATTGAGCTTCAATTTGAACAATCGGCTAGGATCGATGGAGTGTATAATTGATTCAGATGTTTGATTTATCATCATATTCAATGTAAATTTGTAAATTTTTTGCTGTGTGATTTAAACATGTAAAGTGTTACCTGTGATGTTGATCCAATGGTCTGTTGCTAATTTTCTTAGATTTGTGACCTTTGGGACATGTGCTATCAAACAAATTATCTGTAACCAATTCTCTTTAGAACTGTAATTTGTAGACATTGATCTGTTGCTTATGCAAAATGATATATAACCTACGAACTGTAATATGTGACAAGTGCACAAAAACAAAGGGCATGTTATCAGTTCATATGTACAATCATCGTGCACAGATTATAGATCAATGTTCACAAGTCACTGAATAAATAAAATTATTCACAAATAACGTATTTTTGCTCCTGTGTACCATTGGAATTTGTATCAATTAGTAAGACAACAATTATAGATATTAGCGGGCCCAGTACTTAGATAGGCCTTTTTCCAGCACAGTTAAGTCATATGCCGGCCCGAATAATTTGCTGCACTAAGGCCCACTTTTCTCCCCAAATCTTCTTCACTCCCATCGACGGCACGTGATACCAGGTCCGGAAACTCTGACCGGCCATGGCGAGATATTCAATGGCGGCGCGTGAGTATTCTGACAATAGAGGGTGTCACAGCACTCGTGCTGATTTTGATTCGTTCCCACGTAAAAAGAGGTATTTGATTGAAGAAAAAAGTGGGCCCACCACTGTTGCCTACAATCAATCTCGTATTGGGATGGGCCCCAAATTGTTACTTTTAGGTTTCCATTTCTCAGTACACAAATCCGGGGCAGGCGGGCAGCGCCAATCACTCCGTGATTTGCATTATCCTCTGTGTACAATAAATAATCACGTCTTTAGCCCAGTTTGTGTCCTATTATTTTTTCTTTAAAATGAAATTATATGATTGTTGTTCATCACATCAAATTATCATATTTGACTGTTTATCTCTTGTATGAAGCGCATAACAATTATATTTTTCATTCTCATTTTTACAATATTGTGATTCAAACGGGGGCTTAGACCTTGTTTGAGCTACATTCTTCTAAAAATTCAATTTTTCAAAATTTATTTTAAACTACACATTCTTTAATAAAATAATATTGTATGGAAATTCAAAACTTTTTTCTTAATTTTTAACCACACATTCTCCATCAATTTACCATTTAAAATACATTCTTCCCATAAAATGGGGCTCAAACAAGGGCTTAGCTCTATTTGCAATTGCTCAATATCAAAGGTTAAACCCTAACTTTAAGGGTCCCCCACCACCCCTACTCTGGAGTATCGTGAGGGAGGTAAATAACAGGTCATGCCTCCAAGGGTACATGGTGGAAGGCTGCTTGTACACTTGCACTTACCCAAGAGCCAAATCCATATTTCAGGATTTGAACCCTTGACGCAGCAGCCTCAAGTAAAACTGGATTTCTCCACCCTCTCCTTTTACTACTTGGAGATGTGCCCTGGGGGCTGCAATTGCTCAATATCGTAATTACTTTATGTGACATACATGTAAAGATTGACCTATGCGGCATACATTTAAGACCTTTCCAACCACAACACCAAATCACCGTTTTTCACCAAATATACAACCATAGTTATCATATTCGACTCGGACATCGACCCGATCAAGGTACCGGCTCATTGGGTTACTGGTCGGACAGGTGAACCGATGGTCGGATCGGTGGGTCATTACTTAAAAATAAATTAATAATTTTTAAAGTACAATTTTTTATTTTTTTGTTTGAGACTAAATTAAAGTTTTCAAGTTTTTTATTAATAATTTTTTTGAACTCATTTATCAATGATAATGGTTAAATTTTGATTTTATAATTTTCTGTATAAAATTAGCTTACCCGACCCAGTCAAGGGCCCGGGTCACCAGTTTACCGGACTGTAGCCGATTTTAATAACTATGTATACAACTCCAATCCAACATTAAATCTTGCATTTATTGTTATATTTATGTCATCTCCAACCCTACACCAAATTTTACACCATTTTGCACCAAATTTTAAACCAAATCTTGCACTAAACTAAAATTCATCTCCAACCATTACATCAAAAATTACACCAAATGAACAGTATTTAACCATTTTCTTCCCTTTTTTTATTCTTTATAATCTACTTATTTGAATTATTTTTTATTTAATTATTTCATAAATACATAAATACTAAATAAATAATTACGTTAAATTACGGAAAAGATTAAATTCATTAATAAATATAAAAAACATAGAACAATTAATAAAAATACTACAACAACGAAAATATGAAATAATGCCATTAGAAAATAGTACAATGAATTTCGAATTTGGATAGAAAATATTACGAAATCGCTAAATTTTTGCAATTTAATTCTCAAAATTCATATGTTCATCCCACAAATGATCGATTAATGCATTTCGAAGTGCAATGTGAATTTCTTTATCCTTGATTTGTCTATGACAAACAAGGAATTCCTAAAAATGACGATTTTCGCCTTCAACCAACTCAACTTCGTGTTAATTTTAATAAATAATCGTGTTTGATGTATTTTAAATTGTCTTCGTCTTTTAATTAATTAATTTATTATTATGTCTTACATTTAAAATTTATTTTAAACCCAAATAATATTAATATTAATAAAAAAAAGTAATAATTTATTGTATTAAAAGATATATAGCACAAATTACGTAAATACCCTCAACAAATTTATTTGGGAAATGTTAAATAAGGGCAAAATGGACATTTTACACTTTGCACCATTTTGGTGAAAAATAGTGCAAAGTTTGGTGTTGGGTTGGAGCAATTTTGCACCAAAAAAAGTGAAAAATGGTGCAATAGTGTTGTGGTTGGAGATGCCCTTATGTCCACAAATTTCTATTGTCGCATTGAACTTGCGGGGAGAGATTTTTAAAATTATTTTCAACAACACATTCTATGAGACCAATGAATTTTTATAATTTTTTAATTATACATTCTCCAAAAATTATTTTTCACTTGAAAAAACTCTTCCAAATAAATGTTTAACCTTTATCTTTCAATTTACTAGCACATATTGTTCTTTACAGTGATTTTTATCTAAATATTATGTTAGTGTTCTTTGAAACTAGAGGCAAATATTTTGTATATAATCTTTTTTTACTTATTTAATTATGTAAGGGGAAAATAAGTATCTTTATGCTCTTATAATGAGTTTTTGGATGGGAAAATATGTTAATTAATAGAAGCTTAATGATTAGAATGGAGTTAATTAAATGAATGGTCCAAACTATAAAAGCACAAGTCTACAAAGAGTAATGAATAACATTTTTTTGATCGCTAAACAAGCGATATTCAATGAGTAAATTTAATGATCATTTATTCAATTAACTAGATAAAAATATAATAAATAAAAATTAAAAATACATGAATAAAGATTATGAATCTTTCATGAACTCGAAATATGGTACTATAGTTCGAAATGAAGCAAGATATTCATATATTAGCCAAAAGTTATACACACGTACTTACATATAGTCCGGAAATACCCAAATTACCCTTTCCACCGATTTTTCAAAATTGAAAAGTGGGCCACTAGTCAAATCAAATCAATTCATGCGACGACAACATGATCAAATCCAGACCCTTGATTCACCTAAGTAGGCCCTACCTCAAGTTCTAACACTTTTTCATTTCCTGTCTCACTCTATATAAATCCTCAAATCACCATTCTCTGACCAGTCACTTCTCTGTTTTCACTCGATTACTCTCACTATAATGCCGACGCCACCACTAATACCGTCGGTTCTAATCCTCGTACCACTACTCTTCTTCTCCTTCTGTACTGAGCCTGTAATTGCATGGCGCCCATGGCCTAATCAAACCCTCAACAAAACGGACTTCATCTTCGGTGGGTCAAAAAAATATGAGGGCTCATCGGAATTCGTTCAGTTGAAGTATCACATGGGGCCTGTACTCACCGCCAATATTACCGTCTATCCTATTTGGTATGGCTCGTGGCAAAAGTCCCAGAAACGTATAATCCGAGAATTCATCAGCTCGATCTCCTCTGTCGACGCCAAGCCGCCGTCGGTGGCCGGGTGGTGGAAAACCGTCCAGCAATACACTGATCAGACAGGCGCGAATATTTCACGTTACGTTCACATTGGTACTGAGAAGAACGACCGGTTTTTCTCCCACGGGAAATCACTAACTCGGCTGTCAGTTCAATCAGTTATAAAATCCGCCGTGACCTCCTCCACCCGCCCACTTCCGATCAACCCCAAGAGCGGGGTGTACCTTCTACTAACCTCGGAGGATGTGTACGTACAGAATTTCTGTAACAACGTTTGTGGGTTCCATTACTTTACCTTCCCCTCCATTGTCGGGTATACTCTACCGTACGCCTGGGTGGGTAACTCTGCTAAACTGTGCCCCGGCGTTTGCGCGTACCCCTTCGCCGCGCCGGCGTATATTCCGCAGCTGAAAGCGGTGAAATCACCAAACGGCGACGTAGGGGTCGACGGGATGATAAGCGTGATTGCACACGAAATTGCGGAGCTGTCCACGAACCCGCTGGTTAACGCCTGGTATGCGGGTCAAGACCCGGTTTTCCCAGTGGAGATCGCGGATCTTTGCGAGGGAATTTATGGGACCGGAGGTGGCGGATCCTATACCGGGCAGATGTTCAACGGTGAAGATGGTGCCACGTACAACATGAATGGGATCCGACGGAGGTTCTTGGTTCAGTGGGTTTGGAACCATTTGGTGAATTACTGCACCGGCCCGAATGCACTTGATCAGTAAATGCTTCATTTATGTTATTATGGCCTTTCGTTTTGAAATGTAAACTGTTTGTTTATTATTTTACTTGGGTTTTTGCTTATTAATGGATAATTAGTTTAGTCAATTAATTATAAGTGTGTTTTAACTTCAAAGATGACATGCAACGTAAAGCAACACCCAGTCGGCGGTGCAATTTAGCACATCCCTAGTGCCCCCAGGGCACATCTCCAAGTGATAAAAGGGGAAGGTGGAGAAATCTAGCTTTGTTTGAGATTGTCGTGTTAAGGGTTCGAATCCTGAAATATGAATTTGGCTCTTGAATAAGTGCAAGTGTACAAGCAGTCTTCCACCCTGTACCCTTGGAGGCATAATTTGCGATTTACTTCTCTTACGATAGCACATCTCTAGCGTTTTTGTGAGATTTGAGCCGAAGACTAATGATGATTGCTCTTTGTACCTTTTCTTTTACAAAAATAAGGGTAAATTTCATGGAATATGTTATTTGTATACAAAACGGTGTCTATACTAGTGTTCATCACTACACATAAAGTGGGTCTATTTTGAATAAATTATATTTTATTTAAAGTGGATTTTCATCCATGTGAGGGAAGTGAACACCAATATGAACACCCTGTAATATCATCCAAATTTCATTACACTTTTAGCTCTCTTGTGCACAGTAGTACAGATTTATGACTATATTTGTCTAATTTATGCAATGAATCACTTGAAAGTTTCTCTATGTACATCTAAATATGCCCTTGAATGAGCCATCTTTTCTAAAAACTCATTTTTTTCCGTAAACTCGTTTTTAATCAATAAAATAAGTTTGCATCTAAAGCCAAAACTTTTTCCTACTTTTTAACTACACAAATTTTCAAAAATTCACTATTTCAAAATCTTTTTTTCTTTTTTCTTTTTCCCAGAAAAATGGGCCTCAAAACAGAGCCTATGAATCATACATCTTTCCTGAAAAATCGTTAGAGTTCTTGAGCAAGCCTTTTAATTCAGAAGAAAAGAGGCAACAGGAAATGCAACCAGGTTGCTGTCATTATGAACATTTGATGCAGTGATTAACACATAACTATGCTTTATTGATGAATTTATTGCTTATTTTCTGTAGCTTCCCGAGGTATGAATCATATATTTCCCAAAAAATTGTAGAGTTCTTGACAACCGAGTGGCTGTCATTATGACCATTTTATGCACTGATGAACACACAACTATGCTTATATAAGCATGTATTAGAATATTTTCAAGAGACTATCTAAGTACAAGATACTATCTATTTTAGAGAGTCTGTTGCATGTTATCATATTTGGACAACCTACGTGGGCCTATGACCCACTCAATCTGAACCACGTGGCGCTCTAGCCGAGGTGGTTTGTATATCCGAGGCCCTTCATGCCGAGGCCTGTGAGAATAGCTGAAGTCCTAAAGCGGAAGTACTACATGAGTGGCAAAAGCCTCGAATCCGAAGTTGAAGCAGAAACCCCCAACCCATGAAGGAACGTTTTCCATGATCACTTCTCTCAAGAGATCTTCTACGTAAAGATCTTGTTAGAATGATTGATGGAACGTTTGTCATAAATATACATGTCAAGTCTTGTCATTAGCATGAGGATTCTGCATAAGCAATAAATGCGCAGCAAGCTAGCAAGTCAAGGATGATGCTTAGGATTGGATGTTTGAATTAAAGAGATGAAGCCACGTGTCACTTCATTTAAGGGCTGCCATTTCACATGTAACACTATAAATACTTCCCTTGTGTAACAGTGAAGGACTAATGCAAGAATCAGTACAAGAAATCATAATTTACTCAACTCTCTCTCATTATCTTGCAACATAATACGAGTTTACACATTTTCAGACACACTTCCAAACATCGATTGGTAATTATTGTACAATCGGATTAAAAACATTCTGTCGGATTTTAAACGTTCTCGTCTTGCACCGTTGAGCTCCTCCCATGCCCCCGATTCGTTCGTTCTAAACCATCCACGTGTCTTAGCGTGTAGGACCTTCGCTCACATGTGCGTGGGTGAGTCCGGCTTCTGTTGGCAACAGTTTTTGGGGTTAACAAATTGGCCCCGTCTGTGGGAAACCATACCATAATCACGAACAACCTTGTGGTGAAAGCTTATTGAAGAGCATTTGGGCATCTCCCTTGAAAAAGGCTTTGTTATTGAAAAAGAACAAGAGGAAGCCCCACAACTTAGCAAATCTGAAGAGTCAGACAAAAAGAAAATGAGTTCAAACGAAGACGCACCCCCCAGAAGGGTAAGAGAAAATGCAAATGTGCCTCTTCCACCCGCTGTCCCAGTAGCTCGGCAAAGACTCCACGACCACCAAAGAAGAGGTGGAATGTGAGCGACGACACGACTGTCAAGAGAAATGGCTGCTATGGCGGCCAACATGAGGGATATTGCTAGCCAAAATTTGGCTATGAGGGAGCTCATGGCCCAAATGTAGGGCCAAGGAGGCTCTCCCATTCCTCCATACGCCCCTCAAGGACACTACCAGTAAGAAGATGAAATTCAAAGTTATAGAGCTGCCTTGTCGGACTATAGCCGAGGTGGAAGCCCTTTTGAAAGGGAAGTTGAAGTTGATGTTTCCTCCAACTACGCTTCTAGCCGACCTACCAAGGTCCCATTGAACCATGATAACTTGCCACCTCCGTATAAGCAGAAGTCAAGACATAGGAGGGCAAACAGTGTATTTGACAGAATCAGCCCGCTGAACCAAGGTTTAGGCAACAGGAGACTCACCAGTTTTGGACAAGGCCACCTCCTCTACCTCCAATGCCCCAGCAACCGGAACCTCCTTCACCTCCAATGCTCCAGCAACTGGAAGAAAGGCATGAAATTGCCCCCCGTGTTGTACCACCTAGAAATAGGCGTCAGAGGAGGGAGGAAGAGGCTAGGAATCATCCCGGAACCTCTCACCAACAACCACGGAAGAGGCTGAGGAATATGATTCAGATGAACAGCACAGGTCCTGTGACTTGGACGACGACGATGAGAATTCGCCATTCTCGAGGGAAATAAGGAGTGCCCAGGTTTCAAACCACTATGTAATGCCAAAGATACCTAAGTATGACGGGAGAGGCAACCCAGAGAAGCACCTGAATGCTTATAAAACTCAATTGAGCCAAAGGGGCGCCACCCTAGCTGTGAAGTGCAGAACTTTCCATTTGACACTGAGTGGAGCGGCTGAAATTTGGTATAACAGGTTACCACCTGGGAGCATAAGAAGTTTGCCTGAGTTTAAGACAATATTCTTGAAGAGGTTCGCGGTAAGCAAAAAGGGAGAGACCCCCATCCAATGTCTCTAAGACATGAGACAAGCACATGGGGAGTTCCTAAAGAGCTTCCTATCACGCTTCACCGATGAGATGACGTATTGTGTGTAAGTCACCGACCGTGAGGCACTATCCGCATTAAGAGGAGGTTTGAACATGAATACCCTATTCTGGAGGGACGTACAAAATCAAGATCTACCACTTATGATGCCCTACTCGAGATGATGAGGCGGGAAATCATCAATGAAGAACTGATTAAGCATAGGAACATGGCAAGTAGAGGCCTCCCACCTCCTCAAAGGCAGCGTGCTAGAGGGCCGACCTCCCACCTGATGGACTACCAAATGAACTAGGCTGGAAATGAGAGTTCTCCCCAAACCACGATGAACTTCATGGAGTTCCTCATTATCGACAGTCGATCGGCTTACCATGGAGTATTAGGTAGGCCAGTCCTAAAGGAATTGGGAGTAATCACCTCCATCCACCACTTATGCATGAAATTCCCGACGAAAAATGGGGTAGCAACGGTGAGAGGTGACCAGAGAGGGTCGAGAGAGTGTTATCTAAGCTCTATAAAAAAGGTAGAGCCCCGGGACGTCCATGTAATCATAGCCGATATAGTCATGACTGACGTCCCAAGTGATGCTCCCACTGAACTAGAAGATATCGATATGATAGATGCGCCACCCAATCCGGAGGTCTTGGTCATTGATGAGATCGATCCCCGTATAATTGAACACGAACCTCAAGCATCCCCAGTTGAGGAATTTGAGAACTTCTTGGTAGACCCCTGAGACCCATCCAAGATGCTGAGAGTAGGCAAGGGCTTATCCAACATTCTGAAGGAAAAGATTAAAGATTTCTTAAGTAAGAACCTTGATGTCTTTGCTTGGAAGCATAAGGATATGGTAGGCATAGACCCTGTTAGGATCTTCCTCTTCCTGCTCACGGTGATTTCCGGGCTCAGTTAACCATTAAAACCGAATTCAACATCAAATTGGAGTCACCAAAGCCGCCGGCGCCTCTTCCTCCTATGGTTGCTTTCCTCCTTTGCTTTGTTGATTCAATCCACACACTTAGGATGGATACCGCTCAGGTAAGGTTCACAAAGACTCAAGCAATTGGGATGGAGAAGAAATCACGAAGAAGATGAAGGCAGAAGGACACGGCTGAACATGGCAGTTTCTCTATCTCACGGCTTCAACTTGGACGGGTTTAACTAGGATGAAAACACCAATATATATAGTAAGTCAAGTGGCCAACATAAGGTAAGTAGGGATATGGTAAGTAGGCTCGACTAGGGTTAACTTCCAATGGAAAGAATCAACAAGCCACAAAGAGTATTAGCCGTCCAATAGGTAAAGCAACGTTTGGTCGGTTCATCCATTATTCGATGTTGAATTATCGTTCAGTCATTCATGTCGACTGATAAAATTGGTTCTCATCATCGCCCGGGAGGTCGTTTGACAACATAATGTCTAACAGACCCCAAGGTCAGTTGCCATCACCTGAAGGTCGATCCAAAGGTTGCCCCACACAGAGAAAAAAGGAGAGTCCTCAATCCTGAAAGGTACGAGGCTCTGAAGAAAGATGTCCAGAAGCTCATCCAAAACGGCTTTATCAGGGAGGCTACCTATCCGAGGTGGGTCTCCAACCCGATTTTAGTAAAGAAACACAATGGCAAGTGGAGGGTGTGCATCAACTTCACCAAACTCAACAGAGCTTGCCCAAAAGACAGCTTTCCTCTCCCAAGGATTGATCAACTAGTAGACTCCACGGCTGGGTACGAGTTGTTGAGCTTTATGGACGCATACTCCGGCTACAACCAAATACCCATGCTCCCGGCCGATGAGGAGCACACCCTTTCATTACAGACCGAGGCCTTTATTGTTATAGGATGATGCCCTTTGGGTTGAAAAACGTCGGAGCGAGTTACCAAAGGCTCGTCAACAAAATGTTTATGGACCTCATCGGCAAGACAATGGAGGTATATGTAGACGACATGTTGGCGAAAAGTTTGGAGGCTAAGGATCACATAACGCACCTCAACAGCACCTTCCAAATCTTGAGAAGATATGGGATGAGGCTCAACCCCCTCAAGTGCGCCTTTGGAGTGGCCTCCGGCAAATTCTTAGGATATATAGTCAATCAACGTGGAATTGAAGCCAATCCTGAGAAGATTGAGGCCCTACACAAGATGAGGTCCCCCCAAAAGCCAAAGGAGGTGCAAAGTTTGACCGGACGAGTGGCCGCACTTAGCCGCTTCGTCTCCAAAGCTACAGACAAATGCCTCCCATTTTTTAAGGTGCTAAAAGTTGGGAAGAAGTTCCAATGGAACGAGGAATGTGAAGAGGCCTTCCAAGGCCTGAAAAGGCACTTGGGGCAGGCCCCCCTCCTCTCCAAACTGAAGCTCAGAGAGATCCTACAACTATATCTGGCCGTCTCAAATGAGGCCATCAATTCGGTTCTGACTCGAGAAGAGAGAACCACCCAACTTCCAGTCTACTATACAAGTAAAGTACTCCTATCGCCGGAAAGTGTGACAAATGTCAACGATTCTCTTCGGTACAAAGGCAACCGTCGCAGGATTTGACTGCGGTTTCCAGCCTTTGGCCTTTCTCGAAATGGGGTATGGATCTCATAGGCCCTTTACCTAAGGATAGAGGAGGTGCAAGTTTTGCAATTGTGGCCATTGATTATTTTACGAAATGGGTTGAGGCTGAGCCACCGACAAAATTCA